TAGTGTTTCTTGTTTCCGTGGCTGAGAGTTTATTGAAATTTTAATTGGACACATACCAATTAATTTAAATGACATTAACAAGTATTTGCCCCTTTTTATACTGAATTCTCTCAAAAAACATTTACACAATGTGTAGTTCGATTTTAAACAATTTTTCCCAATAATGCAGCTAAATGTGGTTTCAGGGTAACAGATGACATTAAGAATGTCAGATCCAAAAGAGAAAATGTGATAATTATCCTGTAGATTTCTGACACAAGATGCACTTTTCTACTTGCAGTGAGGCAGAAACTTTTAATAAGTGCTAAGAATATTGATCAATGAATAGTCTAGTTGATCGACAGAAGGTTAATTGACAGTTATTCTGATCACTCAGTTATTTGTTTGAGTTATTTATTGAGAAATATTGCAAAAACATTCACTTATAAAAGCAAAAGGATTTGACATTTTCCTCTTCAAGTCTGGGAAATAACCATTGCACAACACTGGGTAATTTATTGAGTGAAAAGATTCAAGATTAAAAGGTAATAAAATAATCATTTAGTTCCCTAATTTTATATTGGCATTTTTGGGAGTTCATTTTTTTCTTTGACCTAAAGAAGAAACAGTCTTCTCACATCCTCATTATCCGTCTATGTCATTGTGCCAGGTGAGGACATACTTCTTTTTTTTCCACTCAGCTGTTAGGCTGGTTAGGAGTTGTTGTGTTTAAATCTAGTAATAAATTCAATACACTCTGGCTACAGAGGGACACAGCAGCAGAACCCTTGTGGTTTCACGGCTCGCAGAGGACGATGTGTTCCCAGTTTAAATTGATGGCTTTAGAGGTTGTATTGGATCATAGAAGACTGTTGTATCTTGAGTGCAATAAAAAAAATGTGCAATAACAATTTATCTCCTTGTGTTTTCTCCAGATAGCCCTGATGATTAGACAGACGGCATTTAATCCTTGAGCGCCATCTATTGGAGTAAGATGCAAAAAACACATTTCCAACCTTTTTTTTTTGCCTGGTCTCTACAGGACGTCGGTGTCATTCATACTGGCTCTCTTTGCTCTTTTATTGTACAGACAATAGTTTGGTGTTGACAACCCTCATTTAATGTCTCCAATGCAGTGGTCTTATCCTCACAAATGAAACAAACTCCACAGCATGTTATAGTGCTTAGTATTTTATTTTCCTGAAGACAAATTTCATACAATTACATTCCATCACAATCCAAATGAAAGTCCACCCAAAGAGAATTCACACTGAGTAAACCTATGATCCTTTTTAAACATTTTTTGTTTTGAACCATTCTCTCCCAAAGCTAGAAACCAGAAAACCATACTATGGTATTGAAAATAATTGTATATAACATGACAACAAAAGGTGAACTTCCTTGTCTCTGAGCGCAGCCTAGAAATTGCATACTTGGTCCATCATTACTTAACCATTCAGTGTTGAAGGTGCCGCTCCAGTTTGCCTCTAATCACATTAAGGGCTTTGCTTCTTGTTTCGAGGTTTGGAAGAGAGCAGCTCAGTTGATCACAAGATTAACTAGAAAGCAACTTCCACTTAAGTCCCAAAATGTCCCACACATCAGGTACGCAAACATCGATGAGTACAAAAACAACCTGCAAGAATATTCTAGTAGCTGCTGTCTCTACATAACAGTAAGTTTAAAATGTGATGAGAAAAGAAACCAAGATATATTTGTGTAATGTAATGCTGTAATTGTTAGTTGGCTATTGAAACATGAAAGCATGGTTAATTATATTACACCACTTCCTGACACCTTCACCGACCAACGCTGAGACGACTACGTAGCATATGAGAGTGCAGATGTTAACTGAGCATGCACTTGTGTTAACTGTAGAATGTGCAAGCAAGACACTGCTCTGGTCATTACTATCTATCCATCTATTTGTCTTTTGCCTTTGTCCCGTCTATCTACAGCATATTTCAACTCTTTAAATACTATTTCTTTGAGGTAAAGTTACTTCTTTAGCAGTTCAGCCACACGTTTTGCTTTAAGCCTTGCCACAGAAGGAAACCATTGCATAATAAAACTATGAAAGCAGTGACAAAAAACAGCTGTCTTTCCATAAGACGACACAACATATTCATATAGGTCTACAATATGGAGCCACATCCATAATTGCTGTCACAGTCGCCGTCTGTAATCATTTCTGAGAGAAAATTTACACGATCGCACATTATCTGCCATCATAGGCTGAACAGACTGTGCTGTGAGTCAGTCTCATTCTGGCATATTGCTTTCACATTGTCAGCAGGTGACAATCTGCATGGTCGCATAGTCCTCAGTTACATAAAAATAATCTAGTGGTGTCACAACATCTGCAGATATTGGATACTGCATGAATAGCAAACTGCTAGAACACAGCGATGAAGACCTTTTATCCATAAACCTGGCTGATTATGAAAGTAGATTTCATTTTTGATTTGACTAGAATTATCATCATAACTTTTTCACATCTGTCAAAAAAGGGCCAAGTGTACAGACTGAAGTCAAGACATGAACTGTGCAGTCGTCAGGAGTTTTGTCAGCAAAAGCCCCAAAGCCTGAATGAAGCATGCTGTGTGTCCTTGTGCGTCTTCTTGAACTCTGTGCAGCTCGAGCCACCAGCAGCCAAGAGTCAACGACCAGATTCAAGTCTAACCTGCCATCCCTGAAGTCCTTCATCCTTTGGAGCCACTTTGACGTGCATGTCAGGGTTTCTACTAGTCGTCCCTGTTTCGGTGTGTTTGTGTGTGTGTCGGTGGATGAGATGGAAAGTCTTTTACAGTCTCAGCAGATCCCTTTGACTCTACAAAGTTAATCATCAAATAACAGCAGTGCCACAAAAACAAAAAAAGTGGATTTTTCCATAATGATGGGATGAACAATAATATAAAGACCATTACATGACCATTCTTTTTCCAATTTGTACATACTTAACACTATTATATACCATAGAAATATATAAATACTATAAAACTTTTTTACGATGAGCAAGCATTGGCATGCTAATTTATTCCAACAAGCTCTATTTCTGCTCTAGTCATAAATTCAGTACACTGCAGAATAGAGACGAGGGTTTAGCAACTTTACATCGGTGTTTGTGAAAAAGGCTGAACAGGAAGTCAGAATTTTGCTGTTTACGCTGTGAATCTTTCAGCACTAATCAAATTGTGGCAAAGAGGTGAAAATAAAAATCTCTGGGGCTAAATCTGAGCTTGTAACTGTGTAACAGTCATATCTGAAGCTAAGTGAGACCTGTTTGGTAAGGTGTACTTCCCTTTTCAATATTTACTGCCCGTTCTGAACACACTCCCTCTGAGGTCAGCCTGTCAGGGGAGCTCATCATCTGTCTTGAAGGGTAAACCACACTTTTGCTGCTGGGACGGTTGAGTGATGAGTGTGTGCGGGCAGGTACGGCCATCACGAGGGCGGGGCGCTCTGGTTCTGGTAGATGGACGCCTTTTCTTTTAACAGGACCAGACATAGATGACAGCTCCAGCTCCCTGAGTGAGAACAAAGAGGAACTTTAGTGTCAGGGATGGTTGAACATTGAGTTTGGCTAAATTTCATTCTGTTTGAGCTTCAGGTACCAAGGACGTCCACTGACTGATGGAAGGACATCCCAACAGTATGGATCCATGATGAACCTTTCACAGACATTGGTGTTAATGTATTCTGATATGTGCCAATACAAAACCCTTTTTAAAAAAGATGTGTATTTATGTTTACATTATGTCAAAAATGTTTTCTTGATTGGAAGTTCTAAATATTTGTGTTGTATTTTTAATTATAGCTTTTAAGAATAAAGTTTATGATTTAAATACATGTTTCACTTTTCAATTATACTATTTCAAATATCTTCAACAGCTGCTAAACTTTATTTTACACTTTATTAAAGGAAAATACATTTCCATATATTTTGCGGCAAGGAGATTATGTTTTTGTCTGTGTTTATTTGTTTGTTATTGAGCAGGATTACGCAAAAACTACAAATTGTTAAATCAAGTTTCAGTGTTGGACGACTTGAGGATTTCAGGGTCTGATAATGTCATGAACATTCATTTTTTTTCAACTGAGCGGAAGAGTTTCTTTCATGTAGTGAACTCACCCTCTGGAGGCTCAGACATGGGTGGGTTGAGACAGTACATGTGATAGCCTCGATCGCAGTCGTCACAGAACAGAAGCTGATCCTGGAATAAATGAGATGACAAAAGAAAACACTTGAACTTTCAGCCCAAACAACCCCGAGTTCAGCACTGTAATGTCTGAAAGTAGGTGAACTCACGTCATTCTCCGAGGTGCCGCATATGTTGCAGCACTTGCACTCTATGCACTGCCAGCGGTACGTCTTCACAGCGGCCATCATCACAGAAGTGAACTGCAGGCAAGACGGGTGGCCTGCATTGAGGAAAATTATTTTATCACTTGATTTGTAGATGTAACAGTGGGATTATTTGTGGTACCTTAATAAACATCTTTTCCTCTCTAGAACGTACCTGAGCGTCCACAGTCAGAGCAGGACACCAGCTCCTCTGACTGACCTGTCTTATGGTTGGTTTTGGAGTCTCCCAGGCAGAAATCACAGTAATTATTAGGCAACACAAGACCATCTGGGCCTTTCTTGGGAGCTGAGAAGCAAGATTAAAACACAGAGAGCATCAGTAATGACAACTTAAGAGTACAACAAGGAAACATACAGTACAAGACTGTCCAGATGAGCAATATCCCCAGCAATTTAAAAATGAAACCTCTGTTTCACTTACTTTTAGGCTCCTCTGGCAGCGGCATGGCAGGCTCGTTGATCTCAATCTCCTCCTTCTCCTCACCCTCCTCCTCAGCCAGGTGCGAGTGGGCGTAATGGTAACTCAGACCGGGACGATTCTTGTAGCGCTTCCCACAGACTGCCACCAACAGCAGAAGCACAACATGTATGAAAA